CAAGACCTTGAGGATGGGCGCTTGTGTCCACAACACAGGGCCAGGGTTCCTGTGTCTCTCAGGCAGGGGGGTCCCAGGCCTCCTGACGCCCCATTCTTGGCTCCTTTCCCCACAAGGTCACTGGTGCCAGATGTCCTGGGCGGACTCCGGCCCTGCTGCCTCCTCCCTCACCCAGGCCCTCTCGATAGGCTTCTCTGTCCACTTCTGGTCTGTCTCACTCCAGTGCCCCCTGGCCCCACCCCACACACTAACCTGCTGGGCGGGGGAGCTATGTAAATATTAACTTCTGGAGAGGTAGAGCCAGGGCACCTGGATACTCAGGGAGGAGGGAAAGGGTGACAGAGACCTGAAGAAAAAGAAGGATGAGGGCCCCAAAGTCACCATTCTCATCAGAGATTGGGAGCCATGTGCCCCTGCCTCCGGGCATTGGACTCGGCTGCCCGGACCCCAGAGCCTCCATCCTCCAGCATGCTGCCACCAGACCACTGCATTGGGCCCCCGCAAAGCCCCTCACCATCTCCTCCCCGCCAGAGCATAAGGACCAAACTCTTCATCATTTGATCCAATCACTTCCTGCCACTTCTCTACACAAATTTCAGCTCCAGCCAGGTAGATAGACTGTTCCCCTTCCCTGGAGCACACCTCCCATTTTCCCGCCTTGATTCTCATGCCCGTTTTTCCTCTCGTCATTTTCCGCTCTGTGCATATTTTCTGCACTGAAATCATGCAAACCCCAGGCCTTCCACAAAGCTCCCGCAAGCACCCCGGCCTGTGCTCTCTCCTGCCCCAGAACCCACGATGCATGGGCAGGCGAGGGAGTGGAGAACCTTGGATGCAAAGTGTGGAAGCCAGGCAGAATCTAGAGTGCAGTGCTCACTAGCTGCGAGACCGTGAATGGCCTGGCATCTCTGAGTGTGAACTCATCCACATGTGCTACATGGGAACATCTCACCGCCCTAAAGAAGGAGTGCAAGCAAATGTGCCCTGAGTGTGGCCTAGCATATCTCCTGAGCTCGGTACATATTAGTTTCCTTATATCCAATAATTCTTGTCTCCCCTTTACGTCTTTGGGGACGTACGAAAAACAAACAAACAAAAAAAGTTGCTTTGTTATGTCATGTGTAAAAGAGGGATTTCCAAAAGTCCCATCAAAGAACAAATAATTGCCTTTTTATGGGTTTATCCCTCCAATTAAATTTCAAGTGCCTTGAGAGCTCTATCTTGTCTATCTTTTTTATTAACAGAGGGATTAGCACAGGGCTTGAATGTTGTGGCAGAAAAATAAACACTGGGACTAACTGCTTAAGCCCCGGCCCCACCCACGTCTGCCAAAGAAGGTGGGAGAAGGCAGGATTCCGGCCTCTCTCCTGCCTCTGCCTAGAGGGACGGTGGGGTGTTGGGATAATAACTTCTTTCTGGGGCTTCAGGTGGTGTATTTCCTCAATAAACATATACCCTGTGAACATACTGTGCTGGGCAGTCAGGGAGGAAAAGATGGACTATTTCTACGTCTGGGGCACTTGCTATTTAGCGGAATCATGACAAGTACATACATCATGACAGTTCTGGACTAGCTGTGACATGTACCATAAGACAAGGGCAAGTGAATGGCTGGCAAGACCAGTGGTAGTGGAGACAGTTGCTCCTCCCCGGGTAGTGCCGAGAGCCTATGGAGCAGAGAAGGAGCCTGCGGTCTGGGGTGTGTGTGTGTGTGTATGTGTGCGTGTGTGTGTGTGTATGTGTGCGTGTGTGCTACAGCAGGACACAACAGATGGCAGGAACCCTTTGAATGAGGATGGGGACATGCTTGCTTGATAGAGTTCCAGTTTTCCAGCATTCTTAAAGGGTAGTTGTGGGGCTAGGGCCGAACAGGGAGACTGGACAGGGCTGGATAGGAGTCTTAGAGATGACGCTAAGGAGTTTGGCCGGGATAGTGTGGGCTGGGTAGAGCTGTGGTTGTGGTAGAGAAGGTAAGTGGAGCAAACTCGGATGTACTGGAGTAGAGGGCAGTGTTGGGAGGCACAGAGATGATGTAGGGAGCAAGCAGAGATTTAGACAGATCCCAGTGAGGTCTGGCCACGGTGCAGAGCCCCAGAGTTTGGGAGGGAGCAGTCACGCGCAAGGAGGGCAAGGAGGCGGTGACTGAGATGCTGAGGTTGCTCAGAGAGGCAGCTGGCAGACGGAGAGCAGAGTGGGAGGGAATCTTGGGGAAGGGTCCTCTGTGAGGAGCTGGGAAAGAGAAGCCAGGCAGGCCAGCCAAGGGCAGGCCGAGGGGGGTGGGGTGTGGCTCGAGGAGAAACGGTTCTTTACCATGGCAAGAGCTTGACGCTGAAGACACTGAGGACTGAGGCAAGGCTTTCGGCTTGGTCCCTGGAAAGTCACTGTCTCAGCATCAGAGGGACAGGGTTGAATAGACTGATGTAAGTGGAACCAGTTTGTGTGGCCTAAAGAGTGAGTGATGTCTCCCTCTGACGACCTGCTTGGCTCCCCTCTGCCTCATCAGGCGGTTTGGAGGACAGGATGGAGAAAGGGGAGGTCAATTTGTGAGCCATTCTTAGTGAGAGTTCTTGGTAATCCCAAACTGGCGTGAGATTTGAGGCACTGGTGGCCGCTGCTGCCACCTCCATCCACCTGGTCACATACTCCCCTAAAGGGATTCATGTTTCCCCAACAGCAAGGGGCTATTAGCAATTAGCCCCGTGTGGCTACTTCATGCTCACACCTGCATAGACCCGGGGAGTTAGAGGCAAGCAGGGTTGCTGAAGCCAGGTGTGGTCTGAGGACCTGGGGGAAGTCTCCTTCCTTCCCACCGCCTAGATGTGCATGTTCAAAGAGTCCATTTGAAGTGCCATCATTAGGGATCTATTCTTTTGGCTTCTTCCTTTTAGCATCTTCGAAGTCACCACTAGTTCAGGGGGAATGAGCTGAACAGACTTCCAGAGCCTGAAGAGCCACCTGGGGCATGGCAGCGCCTGGACACTGGGCAGAGGCGCCGAGAGGTGTGTGAGGAGAAGGCTCAGAGTCCAGCCAGGGACCCAGGGACCCAGCGCCCCAGGGCGAGAGCAGGCGCTGGACACCTCGGGGATGGGGTGGGATGAGGGCACTCCCTGGGACAGCACAGGCCTCCAGAGCGGCCCTCCCTCTCCGTTCTCTGTCCCTCCCTGCCAGGTCTCACCTCAAAAAACAAGAAAGAAAACAGTGAAGGCTTTCTGGAGCCAGCCCCCAGAGGCCTGTCGGTACTGGGGAGGTCAAAGAGAGGGAGGGAGGGGCCGGAGAAAGGCCGAGAAGAAAGCAGAGGCAAGACAAAGGGCCCCGTCCACCTTTGAAGCCGTCTCTAACCCGATCGAGGGAGGGGCGGGGGTGGGCCGGAGAGCCCGGCTAGCGGGGAGGCAGTCTAGTTTTAAAGAATGTCTCAAATTCCTGCGGAAATCAGAGGGATTGTAAGAGGCCCCCTCCCCAACACACCTCCTTCCCAGCCTCCTCCCCAGCCACCCCCCAAAGTCCAGTCCTCTACACCTGGGGGGCCCCCAACCCTTTGTCCTCAAGTAATTGCTGGGTGTTTCCCCCGTTAAGTCCCATTGAACTCGCCAGTTATCAGCTGTGGCTCCAGACCACCCTCCCAACACACATCCCAGAAAACTACCCCCAACACGGCGCGGTCTTCACTGGGATTAAGGCTCTTTGTGATGGGGGAGAGAAAAAAGTAACCTGGTGAAAAGCAATTATGACGAGCAGTAGGGAGAATGTCTGTCCCAGGGCCGGGGACCTCCCTCTTGGCTGCCGCTGTCCCCACCTTCTAAATTGCCCCGTGGTGGGGGTGTCAGACTCTGCGCCAGCCCTCGCCATCAACTAGGACTGTAGCTGCACCCACCTCCCATTTTCACTGGACCAGGGCCCTTCCCCACTTCCTCTTTCCTTATTTTTAGGCCATTCTAGGGAGCAGAGAGGAGAAGGGATGTCTTTCATCCTTCTCGCTCCATAATGCCCCTCCTCAAGGTACTCTCAGAAGGAAGAGGGAGGGGAGGGGGTACATCCTCATAAGAGAGGGCTCAGTGAGGGAACGGGAAACGAGGCTGGGGGTCATCCTCAGAAGAGAGGGCTCAGTGAGGGTAGGGGAAACTGAGGCTGGGGCCCCAACCCCAGAAGAGTGGGCTCGCTGACGGTGTTCCCCCTGAAGAGCTGACCTGTTGGGGTGGGGGGGGGTGGTCCCTGCGAGGAAGGACCTCCCCCTCGACAAGATTAAAAGTCAACGCACTGAAGAGGCGGGTTTTATCGCCCCCGAGTTCCACTCCCCACACGCACACCTGGAGGCCCCTGGGAAAGCCCACCGGAGAAGCTGGGGTGGGGGCAGGGCCGCCCCTTCCTCCCCGCCCCTCTGCCCC